TCCTCTCTTCTCTCTCTCTCTCTCCTCACTTCTCTCTCTCCCTCCCCCTCCCTCTCTCTCCCTCATCTCTCCCTCTCTCTTCTCCCTCTCCTCTTCTCTCCCTCCCTCTCTACTCTCTCTCTCTTCTCCCTCTTCCCTCCCTCTCTCTCTCTCTCTCTCTCCCTCCCTCTCTCTCTCTCTCCCTCTCTCTCTCCTTCTCTCTCTTCCTCTCTCCCTCCCTCTCCTCTCCCCTCTCTCCTTCCCTCTTCCACTCCCTCTCTCCCTCCTCTCTCCCTCCCTCTCTCTCTTCCCTCTCTCTCTCCCTCTCTCTCCCCTCTCTCTATCCCCCTCTCTCTCTCTCCCTCCCCCCTCTCTCTCTCTCTCTCCCCTCTCTCTCTCTCCCTTCCCTCTCTCTCCCCCACTCTCCCTCTTCTCTCTCTCTCCCTCCCTCTCTCTCTCCCTCTCCCTCCCTCTCTCTCTCTCTCCTCTCTTCTCTCCCTATCTCTCCTCTCTCTCTCCCTCTCTCTCTCCTCCCTCTCTCCTCCCTCTTCTTCTCCCTCCTCTTCTCCCTCTCCCTCTCTCTCTCCCTCTTCCCCTCTCCCTCTCTCCCCCTCTTTTTTTGTTTTTTTTTTTTTTACACAGGGTTTGGGACCAAGGTTAAGGATCCCTTAGCATCATGACTGCTATTTACAGGTTAAGGATTCTAACTTTATGGCAAGCTTAAGAGCTGTATCTACATCAGCTCATTTGAAGCATTTTTATTGTTATGATGACATACAATAGGAAAACAAGATGAAGTTGGTGCCATCTGTGGGCCAGCATTTTCATTTGATCAACTGACTTTATCTTGTTGACATCATTATCCTGTACGAATGTGTTCCATACTCGAGTCATCCTGGGTATGTATGATCTCAGATGGAGTGATGTTCTGGAGAAGGGTACAGCCAGGAGTGAAAGTTGGCTGCTTTCTGCCCGTCTTGTGGCATAAAAGCTTGTTTCACTCTGTCCTCAAAGTGGATCCAAGTGTGGTATTTTGACAATACAGTGGACCCCCGCATACCGATGGCACCACATAACGATTAATCCGCATACCGCTTGCTTTAATCGCAAAAATTTTGCCTCGATACCGCTTAAAAACCCGCTCACCGATTTTCGTCTGAGACGCGTCCAATGTGCGCCCTCAGCCAGCCTCACATGTGCCGCCCGTGCCATTGTTTACCAGCCAGCCTCCGTGGTAACATCCAAGCATACAATCGGAATATTTCGTATTATTACAGTGTTTTCGGTGCTGTTTCTGGAAATAAGTGACCATGGGGCCCAAGAAAGCTTCTAGTGCAACCCTACACCAATAAGGGTGAGAATTCCAAATAGAAATGAAGAAAGAGATCCTTGATAAGTATGAAAGTGGAGTGCGTATCGCCGACCTGCGTCAGGTGTACAGAAACCCCAATCAACCATCGCTACTATTGTGGGCACCAGAAAAGGCCAACAAGGAAGCTGTTTTGCCAAAGGTTTAACCTGTGTTTTCAAACAAAGATCGCAAGTCATGGAGATGTTGAGAGACTCTTATTGGTGTGTAATGAAAACAAGCTAGAAGGAGTAGCATCTCTCAAGCGATCATAAGCGAAAAGGTAGAAAGTTGCGTGAGGATTTAATTAAAAAATGCCTGCAACTAGTGCTGATGTGAGTGAATTTAAGGCCAGCAAAGGTTGGTTTGAGAGCATTTAAGAGCGTAGTTGCATACATAGTGTGATAGGCATGGTGGGGCTACCAGTTCGGAACACAAAGCGGGTGAAAAATAGTGCATGAATTCAAGGAGTACATAGAGACTGAGGACTGAAAACGACACAAGTGTTTAATTGTGATGAAACAGGCTTGTTTTGAAGAAAATGCCAAGCTGGTCTAACATTACTCAGAAGGGAAAAGGCATCCCAGGTCTTTAAGCCTTTGAAAGACAGGCTTCTTTGTTGAGGTGTTCCAATGCTACTGGTGATTGCAAGTTAAGCCTTTATTAGTGTATCACTGAAAAACTCCAGGAGTTCAGGCAAAAGGAAATGTCCTATGGAGAATTTGTGTGTTGCTGTGGAGGGCAAACAGTAAGGCATGGTGTCACTAAGAGACTTTTTCTATGACAGGTTACACCATGCATTTGCCCCCATGTGAAAGGATTACCAAAATGAAAAGAAAATTAGAACTTATGTGCCTCCTGGTGTTAGAACAATGCACTGGTCATCCTACAGACGTGGGCAGAGCGACTTTATGGGGAATGATATTCATAATAACATTCAAGTTTTTGCCTCCTAATACCCATCCTCTCCTGCAGCCATGGACCGCTGGTTATTGCAAACTCAAAAAACTGTACCACAAAAGCTTGTTTGGAAGGTGACTTTGTAGTGACCTCTGAAACTTAGAGCACTTTAAATCCTCAATTGTGTAATCTCATAGGGTAGGGCATGGGAGGGAGTGACTAAGGGACCTTGAAACTCTGCTTGGAAGAAACTGTGGCAGAATGTGTAGGGACAAAAGGGATTTTGAAGGGTTTGATGCTAACCCTGAGAGGATTATGCCAGTTGAGGAATCCATTGTTGGCCCATTGGGAAGTCATGGGGTTGGAGGTTGTGGGGAGGATGTGGAAGAGTTGGTGGAGGAGGGCCAATGAAGAAACTAACCTCTGATGAGCTGATAGGATCAACTTCTGAGAGCAAGAGGCCAGACTGAGAAAATGGTTCAGAGGGGGGAGAGAGAAATTGAAGAAGTTGCCTATCAAAGATTATGGGAAATGTGTGCAAAGTGGCTGAAGTGCAAACTTTTTGACTGTAAATCACCTCACACAGCTATGAAGCCGTGCTGGTGATTATTACCATGACAATGTTGTGAAACACTTTAGGGAGTCATAGGGAACGGAGACGGTACAGGAACTATGGACAGATATGTTGTGCGCAAGAAGTCCAGTGACTGAAGCTGGTCCTAGTGGCATTTAAAAGAAGAAGGGAAGTACCCCGAAAAGGACTCGACACCTCAATTCTTAATGGAAGGGGATTCCCTTCTAACACCACTAAACACTCTTCTCCTACTACCATCCCATCAATCATCACCAGTATCTTCAATAAAGTAAGTGTTCATGTAGTGTGCATGCCTTTTTCAGTTTGTGTGTACTAAAATTAACATTCTCATGTGGTAAAAAAAATTTTTTTTCATACTTTTTTTTGGTGTCTTGCAGGAATTAATTTGATTTCCAATTATTTCTTATGGGGAAAATTCATTGATACCAATTATTTCGCATAACCAATTACCCCTCTTGCATATTAAAATCGGTATGCGGGGGTTCACTGTATTGCCCTGTACATAACAGTAAGGGCCCCCATCCCTCCTATGTTGAAGGCTCTGCTGAAATTGACAGATCTTATCCAGGATGGGTCAGGCGAGAGATGAGCGTCTTGCTCTGTTCTCTACTCTGTCAGCAGTCGCAGGATGAGAGGGGGGCAGGTAAACCAAGAAGTGGAGCATATCAAGGTGGAGCGTACTTGTGCCTCGTACAGGATCTTTGCAACCCCTACGTCAAGCAAGAGGGGATAACCTATCTGCCACTACGGAAGGTGCCCCTGACTACCATAAATGTCCGTCCTTTGTTCGTCGACCCATGATCAAAGTCACAGGTATTCTCCTCACATCGATGCAGCTTCGATCAGACCACATGGTTCTAGTTTGGACCCCGCGTCATAACTTTCACCCCAAAGCGAGCGTGTGCGCCTCCCACCTCCTCACTTCTTCCGCCACGGTGGACCAACCCTATCACAGCACACAACATTCACCTCAACCTTACTTACTGCCAACACAGAAATTACAATACATGGCTGCCTAGAGACGATCATCATTAGGTTTTTCTCAGGTAGCAAATGTTACTTGCCATCTATTTCCCAAGGCTGACATAGCTCTCAGATGGTGATTGATGTAGTTAGAGCAGCTGGCATTTCTTCTATTGGATTAGTGAATGTCAGTGTACAGTCGTCTGCATATGCATGTGATTCTGGGATGAGATGAAGAAGGTCGTTGAAGTAGACATTCCATAACAATGGACCCAGCACGCTTCCTTGTGGAACACTTGCCCCAATAGGATGTCTTGCTGATTCCGTTCCATTGAGAACTACACTTAGAGATCTACCATGAAGGTAATCACTGAGGAGACATAGCGTAGAGCCTGCAATTAATTAATTAATTAATTCATTCATTCATTCATTCATTCTCTCTCTCTCTCTCTCTCTCTTTTGTTCGTTTTATCTTGTTTACTCACCTCTAACCCTACATTAAGACTACAAATATTTTAAGGAAAGTAATGAGTGAACTGTATAAGCATTTTATTACTCTGGGACACTTCAAATGTTGTAGAGTATTATGTGTGGGTGGGATGGCCTGGCTTGGTTATCATACCTCCCACACCTGATTTCTCACAATATAAATACTATTCATCTCACCCAACATTAAGATTACAAATATTTTAAAGTAATGAGTGTACTATATGTGTATTTTACTTTATATTGTTTTTAATGCCTAGTTCTATTGCTAACTTAACATATGTTAGTGTAAACTTGTTATCTAGTATTTATATGCATTTGTAAGTGGAAAAAAGGGCATTCCATTTATGCTGATTTCCGCTTTATGGTGGTAGCCTGGAGCCTAACCTGCCATATAAGTGGGGCCCTACTGTAGTCTTTCACACACATTATGGGCACATGAAAGACACAGTCTCAGTTTAACCTAGGTTAACCAAGTAACATCAAATAATGTAACTTATTTCCACTGGGGTCTCTGCTATATCTCAAGGGTACTCAAAGTAAAAAATGAGGCTGTCAGACTGGAAGAGAATATGAGAAGAGCAAACAGCTTAAAATTATTCAACTGTGTTCTAATTAGATTTGTTTGGAGTCATAAGCAAAGATAAAATAAACTAGGTATTATACTTGCACAGTATGTCCCTATGTAAAATTAAATAGAAATTAAACAGTTCAACTGCCCTATATTACCTTAGATCTGAGTGAGGCGAGTGTGTGGCAAAAAGTAGTGCTATGGTTGTTCCAAGACAATGATAGCATTCCATCTGTCATCTTGTTCTCGATCACACCTGTAGATATGAAAAATCTAACAATTTCTGCATGTGGTGCAAGATAGCTTTATTATGTACCTTACCCCCTATCCTTTGAGTAGTAGTCAAAGTATTACAGGTTCACATAATGGATCCAGGGATTAGGCCCCACACTGTAAAGCGAGATACAAATCAATAAGCTAAAAATATATAGTAAATGTGATATTCAGTTATGTACATATAGTAGAAAACAACATGTAATGAAAGCATGAATGATCAGCTGACCCTTCCTGCTTTATCTCAATTAATCATTAAACTGTCCAAACGTAGATCAACGTTCATGTGCGTTGCGCTTCGAACATAGATCTACGCCCGCTTTTACGTGCTCTGTGTAAAAAAAAATAGATCTAAATTCGGAGCGCTACGTGTATGACCGTAGATCTACATTTGGACAGTTTAAGGGTTAACTGTACCAAGCACATTGTCCACAAATGGGCCAAAACTCTTGGGGTCACAAAGAAAATGCAATTAGGTTAGTGAGATCAGACAGTTTTATTCCTCAAAATACTCTGATAATGACAGCTGGCCTTTTTCTCATTCTCGTGGAACTATCAACCACATTTTTTTTAAAACATCTGTTTTCCAAATTTAACCTTTTTGGTAAGAGGAGTAAATGCCATGTAACTACAAATTAATACACCTACCATCCGACTTACGACCGAGTTCGGTTCCGAGAAACCGGTCGTAAGTCAAAATGGTCGTAAGTTGAACTTTACTACTGAATATCAACAAAACATTTTTGTAATGACTTTGTTTTATTGTTTTATTTTGGTATTTCATGTTTTACTTTACTTTTTATGTTGTTAGTACTGTACTTTATACTGTAAGGTTTAGGATAAACACTGTGTACAACACAAATAGTTGTTTATTTCCCAGGAATTTGGCATAAAAAACACGGTCGTAAGTCGAGTGGTCGTAAGTCGAGCAGGTCGTAAGTCGGATGGTAGGTGTATTCCTTTTACTGTAATCTTAGATACTTTATCTCCAGTTACAGTGGACCCCCAAGTTTTGTGAGCCTCATGCTTCATGAATTTCAATTTTTGGCAACTTTTTCATCAAAATATAGCCTCGTGTTTTGAGATTTGCCTTGTGATTCATCTGCACGGAACGCAGCCTCCCAGCAGCCAGGCGTACACAAAGGCTCCCACACATCATTCAGAGAGTCAGTGTGGCATTGTTTCTGGGCGAGTGACCATCACCCCATGCGTTCATACGATACATTTCATTATAACTCATTTTTTTTTTTTTTTTTGCGTTTGCAACTGCTAAATAAGCCACCATGGGCCAAAAGAAAGCTCCTAATGCCAGCCCTTTGGTAAAGAAGGCAAGACACACGATAGAATTCAGGAAAGAACACACCAGGCAGGGTACTTCCCAACACCAGCCAGGGTACTTCCCCACACCAGCCAGGGTACTTCCCCACACCAGCCAGGCCACTTCCCCACACACACGATTTGATCTGAGTGGGACTTGCTCACGAGTGAATAGAATTATCAAAGCTTATTGCTTGGGGAGAATTGAAAACTGGGTTGGGCAAATATTGTTAGTGGGATGGTTTGTGAAGGACCTGCCTAGTATGGGCCAACAGGCTGCAGCATTAGGGTTAAAAACAGCAGTTATTACCAGGATATCTCAGGGATATGTTTAAAAGACAATATTCAAAATAAATTTGCTAGTAATGGTAAATCAATTGATCAACAAACAAAGAGAGATAATAGAGGGCAACGAGTGACTAGCTCCCTTAAGGTTTACTATACAAATAGAAGGAGTCTAAGAAATAAGACAGATGAGCTAAGATTACCTGCAAGTGTAGGTAATATAGATATTATTGGTATAACAAAGACCTGGTTCAACCTGAAAGATAGAGAAATGCCTTTTGAATGCAACATATAGGGTTATATACTATTACACACTGATAGGGTCAACAGGAAGGGTGGTGGAGTGTCGATGTATGTCAGAGAAAATTTAAATTGTTGTCTTAGACATGATATAAGACTAGAAACATCAAACATAGAATCTGTTTGGCTACAGTTTCTTGAGGGAAGTGACAAATTAATTTTGGGTGTGATTTATAGGCCCCCAAACCTTGGTAGGGAGTACAATAAGCTGTTATGGGACAAAATTCACAAGGCATCTAGATATGAAAATGTTGTGATAATGGGAGATTTTAACTTTAGATAAATTGATTGGAACAATATGACAGGAAATCTTGAGTCTAGTGACTTTCTTGATACGGTTCAGGATTGCTTTTTAGAACAGGTTGTGACAGAACCAACTATAGGAAACAATCTGCTTGACTTGGTTCTTGCCAACAAAGATTCACTAATTAATAATCTTGAGGTTAATGATGAGCTTGGGGAAAGTGATCACAAATCACTTAGTTTCAATATATCATGGAATTACCCAGATAACTGCAATCAAATCTCTGTCCCAGATTTTCGCTTGGCCAACTTCATGAGACTGAAAAATTACCTGGGTAGGCTAAATTGGGATGTCCTGACTATGGGTCAGGTAGGTGATCTTGGTTGCCAATACGACGTTTTTCAGAGCATAGTTCTAGCCGCCCAGACAACTTTTGTTCCGAGTAGAGAAATTAGATCTAACAAAAATGATCCCAAATGGATGAACAATAGATTAAAACATCTCACTGGTCAAAAGAGAGGCATATATAGAGTATCAAAAGAGGGGATAGGCAGTTAAGAAATCAATATATTCAATTAGAGAGAGAAATAAAGAAAGGAACAAGATAAGATTAGGGACAAGATTGGCCCACTTAAGAGTAACTCTGGTCAGATCATTGACAGTGATAAGAACATGTGTGAAATTCTCAGTACCTACTTCCTCTCAGTTTTCACCCAGGAAAATACAGTGGAACCTCTACTTGCGAGTTTAATCCATTCCATGACCTTGCTCACAACTGGATTTGCTCGTTTGCAGAGTCAATTTTCCTCATTTAAATTAATTGAAATGCAATTAATCCGTTCCATTGGAATTCTGTACATCAACAATTTCACTAATATCAACTCTACAGCTTATTTATCCATCTCACTTCATCTAATATGACATAATAAACAATATAAATAACATAGAAACCTGATATATACTCTAAAATGAGTAAAATATGTCATTCATGTAGTGGTATGGGCAGTGTCAGCGGTGGACGAGAGTTTGTCTGGAGACCGGGCAAAATACTTCATAATTAATTTCGCTAATATCATCTATACAGCTTATTTATCTATCACAGTTCATCTAATATGACATAATATAAATAACATAGAAACCTGATATATACTCCAGAATGAATGAAATACGTCATTCATGTAGTGGTATGGGTGGTGTCGGCGGCCGACGAGAGTTTGTCTGGAGACAGGACAACATACTCATTGAACATTTTGCTATCATCAACTCTTTGCCTTATTTATCTATCACAGTTCGTCTAATATGAAATAATAAACAATACAAATCACACAGATACCTGATATATACTCTAGAATGAATGAAGTATGTCATTATGTAACAGGTGGAGGCAGGCCACAACCGCTCCCTCTTTGTTGTGGTAAACACTGCCATCTAGTGACAGCCTTTTGAAGCCGTCTATTATAATTATTATATGTAGTACATTATTATTATATATGTATTATTATTATGCATATCATATTAGTATTATTATTGTATTATTATACTATTATTATTATTATACGTATGATTATTATACGTATTATTATTATACATATTATTATTATTACTATTATATAAATAATTTGTAGTTTTTATTCACAAAAAATATAAGATTTACTGTTATTTCTTATTGCAATAATTGTGTAAATAATGTCAACCCATTCAAGACTGCATATTGGAATGGACAGTGACGTACAGTGGTCCCTCGATAATCACAAGGCTCGATAGTCGTAATTTTCGAAAATCGTAATGTTATTTTCGTGAAAACATTGGCTCGCTAATCGTAGTTTGACTCGCGAATAGTCGTTCATCTGGGACGCATACTCACGGCTCTGAGCCGTTCCCAGCCAGTGTGCCATTGTTTACCAGTGAGCGACGATCCCCTCACTTGCTCATACGAAATATTTCATAATAATTCATTCATTTTAGTGCTTGCAACTACTAAATAAGCTACCATGGCTCCGAAGAAAACTCCTAGTGCCAAGCCTTTGGTAAAGAAGGCGAGAAATACGATTGAATTTAAGAAAAACATCATTGAACAATATGAAAGTGGCGTACGTGTGGCCGAGCTGGCAAGGATGTATAACACACCCCATACAACCATAGCTTCCATCGTGGCCAAGAAAAAGGAAATCAAGGAAGCTGTTGTTGCAAAGGGGGTAAATATGCTGACAAAAATGAGATCACCAGTACTTGAAGATGTTGAGAAGTTATTATTGGTGTGGATAAACGAGAAACAATTAGCAGAAGATAGTCTTATGACGTCGATTATTTGTGAAAAGGCTAGGCAGTTGCACGATGATCTGGTAAAGAAACTGCCTGCAATGAGTACTGATATTTGTGAATTTAAGGCCAGCAAAGGTTGGTTTGAGAGATTAAAGAACTGCAGTGACATACACAGTGTGGTAAGGCATGGGAGGCTGCCAGTTCAGACAAAATTGCAGCTACAAAATTTGTAAGTGAATTCAAGGAGTACATAGAGGCTGAAGGACTGAAACCTGAACAAGTGTTCAATTGTGACAAAACAGGCCTCGTTTGGAAGAAAATGCCAAAGAAGACCTACATTACTCAGGAGGAAAAGGGACTGCCAGGACACAAGCCTATGAAAGACAGGCTGACTCTCATGTTCTGTGCTAATGCTAGTGGGGATTTCAGAGTGAAGCCGTTACTAGTGTACCATTCTGAAAATCCCAGAGTGTTCAGGAAAAACAATGTTATGAAGAGTAAATTGTGTGTGTTTTGGAAATCTAATAGTAAGGCATGGGTCACAAGGGAAATTTTCGTCGAGTGGTTCAATGAAG